CCTACATGTGTCCCCCTGTCGCTGTGCCCAGAGTGCTCTTTACTTCAACTAATTTCTCAGTATTAACTGATGGAAAATGATCTGTACAGCTCATCCTCTGGCAGGTCAGAAAGAAAGGAGAGGAAACATTTTCTGCAACAAGGAATTCTACTGATCTGCTACTTTGTGTGATTTTTGTCTTCTACTTTCAAGCTGTGGAGAACTGAAGTAGAATTTTATTTCCTGTAGTTCATTTAAGGTGCTGCTGCATAAGCAGTTGGGAACTGTAGCAATTGCTTGAGCTGTACCGGTAAGATCAGCTGATTGTTCTGAAGAGCAATGCATCCTTTCTTCCTCCAGAGTCAGAAGTGTTGTGCTGCAGTATTTCTGTAAATAGGGCTCTCCATTGGTGTACTGGCGTAGAGGTTTTGCTGTGTTAGAAGTCAGATTCCTGTTCTTGGGTGACTCCTCTGCCACCCCGTTGTCTCTCTGTACAACGCTGCAAATGATATTTTCGTCTTCAGAACTGTTTGCAATTCCAGTGTGTTTGAAGATCAAGTCCAGTGGTCTGGGTCAATGCCGAGCCCTCCAGAAGCTGGACTAACCTTGAATCTGTCTTGTAATGTAATTTTTTAGCCTGCCAGAAGTAAATTACTGTCTCAGATTCATTTCTGAAAAGCTCTGATTAAAATTTGGTGCTCCTATTTCCTTGTATATACTAGAAAATAAATCATAAATTTCCTCTGGATTAGTGAATCCTGAGGACTTGGATCAATTATGGAGCCCAAACGCTTGTGCTCTTGTTTTCACAGAGTGTAAATACTGTTCTGTTCTTCTACCCAGTAGAGCTTTTTAACTCACCTGAAAACTGAAAATGCAGCTTTCATTCTCCTTTTTGAAAATTGGTACCTCTCCTGCCGCTACTGCCCTCATCTTTTGAAGCAGCAGCAGCAAATGGGCAGCTATTTGGTCCTTGCCTTTTTCTTCTCCTTCTTATCAGGAAAGAAACGGATTTTTCTGGCCCAGCTGAATAATGTGTGACTTAGTAGCTCAGAGTAAAGTTATTTTTCAGGCTATATATATTTGTGTAGATTTCAGACACCCTTGTGCCCACACACTTTCCCTGGCTATAATTTGGATTTATTCATTCTCTAGTACCTCAATGTGGTGTGAAAGATTGCATTTTTCCCCAGAGCAACAATTTGCCTGGAACAGACCAGGAGTAATTTGTTGGGGTGGCATGACATCATTTATTTATTGTACGGAGTTTCAGGAACCCTGATAACTTTTTCTTCCTTGTCTTTCCAGGATTATGACCTGTGCATCACCTGCTATAACACTAAAAACCATGACCACAAGATGGAAAAATTAGGCCTTGGTCTAGATGATGAGAGCAACAACCAGCAGACTGCAACCACCCAGAGCCCTGGTGATTCCCGACGTCTGAGCATTCAGCGCTGTATCCAGTCTCTGGTCCATGCCTGCCAGTGTCGTAATGCCAACTGCTCACTGCCGTCCTGTCAGAAGATGAAACGGGTTGTCCAGCACACCAAAGGCTGCAAACGCAAAACCAATGGAGGGTGTCCTATCTGCAAGCAACTTATTGCTCTCTGCTGCTACCATGCCAAGCACTGCCAGGAGAACAAGTGCCCAGTGCCCTTCTGCCTCAACATTAAACACAAGCTCCGTCAACAACAACTTCAGCACCGCCTGCAACAGGCACAGATGCTCCGAAGGAGGATGGCGAGTATGCAGCGGACCGGTGTGGTAGGCCAGCAGCAAGGATTACCCTCACCCACGCCAGCCACCCCGACAACTCCAACAGGCCAGCAGCCCCCAACACCGCAAACCCCACAGCCCCAGCCTCCGCCCCAGCCTGCGTCGCAGCCTCAGCCTGCACCTCCCAACAGTATGCCACCCTACACCATGCCTAGAACTCAGCCCCCCAGCGCTGTGTCCCAGGGCAAGGCAGGTGGACAGGTGACTCCTCCAACTCCACCCCAGCCACCTCAACCACCAGTTCAGGGTCCTCCTCCAGCAGCAGTGGAAATGGCCATGCAGATCCAGCGGGCAGCGGAGACCCAGCGTCAGATGGCACAAGTTCAGATCTTCCAAAGGCCGATTCAACACCAGATGCCTCAGATGCCGCCTA